CATACAGGGGCTATGGGGCTACGACAGCTAGGGATAGGGGCTACAGGAGTCCGCGACATTGTTGATGAGGCCAACTTTAGCCTATTCTGCTTTGGATTGACACAGATTATAGAGAGCCGCCCAGTTCTCGGAGCACTAGATGAGAGATGGTGGGACACCACCAACTCCCTCCACCTTTTCACTGTCGAGGAGATGACAATGACTCCTTACGACTTTGCCATGATCACAGGCTTAGACATAGGGGATAATCTGATTCCTTTCGACCCTTATATGGGGGAGTGAGAGGTTGCCTGGATCGAGCTACTGGGAGTGCACCCACCAATAGATGCACGAGTTAAAGGAGAAGGCTCACTTACCGAGACATGAATGATCATAGCCGGTACTCCTCTGAATGAACCATACATACAATATCGTTTGCCTGTGTTGAATGAACCATACATACAATATCGTTTGCCTATGTAAGAAAGAACATAGAGGTGTGATACAATAACCGTGCATGTTCTATGCATGAAAAACAACCAAGATATGATATTAGTTGAAGGTATGTTCTGTGCAGGAAACAAAAGCATTTTCTGCCTCATCTTCTAGCGTACGAGGAACAAACCAGACCGCTCGAGCCAAGAAAAGCTCGCTCGAGCCAAGAAATACAACTCTCAGGTCCAGAACCAGACGCCATCGCTCGCTCGAGCGAAGCCACTCTGGCTCGACCCACCAGACACAAACTCAACTCTCGCTCGAGCGACCAACTCCTCGCTCGAGCGAAGGTCCAAAAATCTGGGCAGCAACACTAGGCTCCCAAACACAACCAACCTGAAACAAACCTGCCCAACACATCCTATAACTCAATATACAAAGTAAAGAGGATGCAAACAAGATAATAAACAACTACCAACATCCACGGACACATGTCCGGATCACTGTACAACAAGGGTAAACCCGGGATCGCTATATTCCACCTCTATGTAACTCCATATCGATATAGAATTTTGATTCACATCTTATTCTGAATAGTTGATAATTTAATTTATAATTTATGGGGGAATGCCTAAAATTATAACAGCATTGGTAGGTATTATGAAAAGTCTTTCATGAAAATGATCATGAAAGATTTGTGATCTTTGGATTACATTTACAATAAAACACCACATAGTAATCAAGATAATCTAAGGGTCACAAATTTTTCATGATCATTTTTATGAAAAAATTTTCATGATCCCTAACATTTCTCAAATTATAATTTGGCCTATGTTGAGAAGTAGGTTAAAAGTTAATTTTTTGATTTTTTTTTTACTCAAAAAAAAAAAAACGTACAAAAAAATAGAAAGGTGTTGTAATCCAAAAAAACTAATAAACCAAAAAACCAAATTTAGGTATTCATAAAAGGAGAAATTACAAATCATATTAAATTTTCAAAAATAATTGCATACACATGAAAAAAGTTTGATTCTTAATAATTAAAGTTATAAATTTTAGGAAAATTTAGTCAAAACTCCTCCATTGGACCTTTATTTGGTGAAAATGACAGCCTAATTTATTTTACTTCATAAACCCTTTAAAGAGAAAACACATAATTGAATATGGACAAAGTAAAATATCTATTTTTTTTTCTTAGGCAATATTGCCAGAGTAACATGTTACTGTCAATCACTACAAGAATTCACACATTTGCCGACCACTTTTGCCGACCAAAAAAATTTTGGTCGCAAAAAAATGACATTTGGCGACCAAATATTAATTAGTCGCGAATGATCATTATTTTTGGCGACCAAATATTATTGGTCGCAGAAGGTTATATTTTGGCGACCAAAAAATGAGTTGGTCGCAGAAAATGGTATACTTTTGCCGACCAACTCCAAATTTGGTCGCGGAAGGTCACATATTTTTTGGTGACCAAAAATTTAGTCGCCAAAAACTGATTTTCAGCAACCAAAAAAAATTAGTCGCCAAATTAATACTTTTAGCGACTAATATTTTAGTCGCCGTTGATTGAGATTTGGCGACTAAAAAAATTTGTCGACAAAAGTACCTTTTCTGCGACTAATATGGTCTTTTGGTCGCCAAAGTTTGGGAGGGAAATTTGAAACATGAAGGGGGAAAATGAATACCAATTCGCAAGAAATGAGATTATCCATTCCCGCCAATGACATTATCATTTTCCCTCCCTTTTTATCCCTCTGTCTCACCCTATTTTTTCATTTCACGTTTGTTGCCCTAGGTTCTTCCTTCGACGGCTCTATCTCTCTCACTCAACTCTCTCTCTCTCTGCCTCTCTTTCTCACTGGAATGACAGTAAGTGACGATCAGCGAGCTGCGGCTGTGGCGGCGAGCAATGATCGACGATCGGCGACACTGGTGAGCAGCGATCGAAGCCTCGATTCAAATCTATTCTTCTCTTCTCCTCTTTTCTTCTTCTCTTGTTCTATTTTCCTCATTTTCTTCTCTTCTCAACCTGTGTTCTATGTTCTGTGTTCTTAACCTAATCACAAATTCATTTTCTGTCTCTCTCTAAATTTTCAGTCCGATAGAGTGAGAGCAAGTTCGTTTTATCAGTAAGTCCTCCTTTGAATTCTCTCTTTCTTTGTTCTTCTCTTGTATTGTTGGTTGTATTTGTTAATAAATATTGTCTGTTCATTACACTGCTTGACTCACTATTTGTGTACCTATAATTTATCTCACAATCCATGGAAACTCTCATGATCTCTTGCTTTTTTAATTTTTCTGCTATGACTTGCTTGTTTATGGCTTGTATTTGATTTCTGGGTTGTTAACTTGTTATCTGCATGTGTATTCTTTTTTATTTTTTTTGATGCCCACTAGTTGTTTGATGAAATGTTTCAAACTTATTATAATGAACATAATATAGAATGCATGAACAATTTTTTAATGAAATCTTTTTGATGAAATAGTTGTTATCTGCAAGTGTTTTTATTTTGGTTTGACGAACTTATGTGTGAACCAGAAAATTTCATTACAGAATTATTTTGAACTCATCTGAAAGTGTTTTTATTTTGAACTTATCTGCAAGTTCATTACAGAACTTATCTACAAGGGTTCTTATTTTGAACTCCATTACAGAACCAGAAAAGTTCCCCATTTTCAACTCCATTACAAAACCAGTAGGAATTCTTGGTACAAGAAATAAGAATTATTTATGCAAGTCAAGAATTATTTATCTGCACAGTGCACAATGTTTGTATATACATTGCACACAAGTGGTGATTGAGGAGAGAAGTCCACATTTTTTGTTTTTTGTTTTGTTTTGTTTTTTCATTAATGACAATCAGGTTGTCTGAATTTTATTATGGATAAAGTTGAGTGGTTGTGATTTGCAATTTTTGCTTTTGTAATGGAAGATGATTTTGTATGCTGATGGCTGTGACCACATACAACACATCCCTTCCTTATGCTGAAAGATATAGAAATGGTCACTACCTGAGTACCTAAATTTAGAATGTGAAACTTTGTATTTGAACTGGTCTGTCCAGGCCTTTTAGATTGTGAAGTCTATTGTTTAATTTCAGGAAAAGTACAGGTTGCCTTGGTTTGGAATTCTAGAGATGAGAACTCCCCTTCCTCGAAAAAGTTAAATGCTTTGGCCAATGTGTGCCCATTCTCTCTCCCTCTCTCTCTCTCTCTCTCTCTCTCTCTCATTTTTATATTTTCTTTGGACATGATAGTTTATTTTAATTCATTGATTGATGTCCAAACTGTTGTTTGTAGTTCTTATGGAGATATGGTAGGCCAAACAGGAAAGTCCATTTAATTCATTCTGTTTGGGCAAACTTGCAGACTTCAATTAACAATGTGAGTGTAAAGTGTGTGGGTTTTTGTGTCTGTGCACATGTGTTTACTTGTTGGCGTGGGCATCCATACACTAAGTATGTTTAGTGTGAACTGCTTCATTTGTTTGTTAAAGTGGATATAATTAGCTTGTAATTTTTTAGAATGTTGGTCTCATTGCTAAGATGGTGTTATTTTGATGATCGTTTATGTTGTCCTGAGACTATGGAGGTGGTTGAGAAAGCAACTGAACCTCTTTTATGAAATGCTCTTACCAAGAACACAAAACATTCATAATTCTACTTTCATAGAAACAAAAGAAAAACTCAGTTCAAAGCTTTCTTGCAACACCAATTAGGAATAGTTTTTCTGCTTTTGATCAGATTATCTACTACCAGAATTTTCACCTGGGATATCTCCCTGCAAAAAAGACCAACTGAGAAGGGCCCTTCAAATTTTCAAATCCCTTTCCAAGGAAAGTGAAGTGTGTCACCCTCCAACTTGTAATAAGACTTCACTTTTAATTTCCTCAATTTGGAGTACCAACCAATGTCATCTTCCTTCGAGCCTTGGACTAAGCTCCTGATATAACAGTTTCAAAAGAACTTGTATCCCCTGAACCTTCCTATCATGTAATGATCTTTGTAACCCATATCATTAAGTTTTAGAGAGTTTCTTTAAACCATATATTGTAAAACACGTGAGGTGCAAGTTTTAGAAGGTTTGGAGGGGGTACCTAATCCGGTTTGTGATTATCTTTGTAAATATATATTTTTCATATCTTTGTAAATATGATTTGAACCAGCTACATAAGTTAATTCGCAAGCATGCACTGATGTAGATTACAAGCCTTGACTTTTTCATCCACTTCTTTTGATTTCAATACATGCGATAAGGTCATTGCATCTAATTTATTATTTTTTCACTTCTAGTGCCAAAATAGAACTGAGAATCATTCTATTTTTTTTCCTTTAAAACATATTGATAACTGAAGCAATTACATGTTGTGCATACATGTTTGTGTGTTATATTAGGGATAATAGGTTGTAAAATTAATTATATTTTGATGAGTTTGTGTGTCTCACATTATTTGTGCATTTAACAAGGAATGGGACTGATACCATCTACTTCCCATTTTCATGCTTGCTGTGAAGATATTTGGACCTTCTATTTGTAAATTAGTTTATGATGAGAATTAGCTAATGATTTGTTCTCTTTGCAGTCTCTGCATTAATAGCGATGAAGAGCAATTTAGTTGATCCTATAAACCATCTCAAGAATTGGAATAAAGGGGATCCATGTACATCCAAATGGAGAGGAGTTTTATGCTTTGATTCAGTCACGGCTGATGGTTACTTGCATGTCCAAGAGCTGTATGTTGCTTTTCCAGGATTTCTCACTTTCCTTTAATAGAAGTCATTAACTCATTACCTATTTTGTTGTTATAGGAGTTGAAGATTTGATGATATGGACGTGTTTAATTTGCTTTCTATTGTCAGCATAGTGCCTTATCACTTTTTATTACTTCTAACAGAACAAATGATCTTTCATTCCTTAATATTGGTTATAGTGCCTCAAATTGTAGGAAATGCTCCTAATTATCTCTTCTATTTTTGGTGCAGCCAGTTATTGAATATGAACCTGTCCAAGAGTTTAGCATCAAGCAAATTCTTGGACTTCAGCATGGAAAATCTTATGTTCATACAGTTTTAGGTCATTATTGTTTGAGAGCTGAGCAATTATTTGATGGAGTCTTGGATTGTGAGTTATAGTTGAGATCAATTTTAGGAGAAATGGATGTTGGGTCGATTAGAACGGCATGGTAAAAGCTATATCCTCCAAAATATAATTGCATTTTGTAGGAAAGACTATTTTTATTTATTTATTTGGAAGTCATGATTGTTTTGCATTGATATGCTTTTCACATCATTTGTCTCTGTTTAGCAGTATGAGAGAAGGCAAAATGTGAAAAATATTTTGGGACCACTTGCTGTTTTTCTTTTTCCCGCAAAATTTGAAAAATGTATTATACATTTTTGATGTTTCATCGATACCACTTCAAAATGGTTTTAAAATGACCTTTCAGGAAATGGAATAGATGTACCAGCTTATCAAGATCTTGTTATGTAACTTCTTAAAATTATAGCTTGATATTCCCACAATAATTACTGCAAAAACCTCATATAGCTGCTTTGATTACTCCCTTTTTTGATTTCGCTTTCAACAGACTTTTTAGAAGGTACACAGTTTAATGATTTGCTCACCAATAAATGGGTTTTGTTCCACTTCTCTTGTTCAATGGAGTTGGGTTTACAATACCTGTATGTTTTCTCACAGGTATGATTCCAGAAATTCCATTTTAGAGTGGTCCATACTTCTCATTGATAACTCAAACCGCAGGTCAACATATGATGATATTTCTTTTATTTAAAAACTAAAATTTATTGTGCATTCTACAATTTGTAGTGCTTGTTTGGTTTCTAACTTCATTTTGGAACACTTGGCAATGGATCTATGGAGTTTGTTGTCCCTCCAGTAGACGCATCAGTCTTTTTCCCGATTTCTGTGCGTTTTACTACTGCAAGCACAAACAGTGAACTAAAGGTTTACTTCTCTTTTTCCATTTATAGTTGATTCATTCAATTTCTCAGCCAATAATAATAGTTCTGTGCTTCAGTGGAAATAATTGCTTTTGGTAGTGAACTAGTACTGCTTGGTGCAATTGTTGAGTAGACTTCTCTTGTAGGTTGAACTCTTTAACGATGGTTGGTTGTTTGTAATTCATAATAGCAGCAGGGTGTCTCAATTACTGTTATTGGTAGACATCAAACTTTTTGAAGTTTAGCATGCATGTGTGCCATGTAATTTCTTCATTAAATTTTGGCTGCTTATACTATGCTAGTTTTAGGGCTCTAGGGCATAACTAATATAATATAAACCTTGGGTTATACTTGCTGTGATTTTTGATAATGATGTGAACTTGCTGAATATGACTCATCTGTTTCATACCTTATTCCAATTTTATTAATATGCCCTCAGGCTGCAAACTACTTGAACATAAAGAGTCTGCTGGATCTAACATGCCAGACAGTTGTGGACATGATAAAAGGAAAGACTCCAGAGGAAATCTGGAAGACCTTCAACATAAAGAATGACTTCAGTGCCGATGAAGAGGAAGAGGTTCGTAGAGAGAACTAGTGGGCCTTTGAGTAAGAAGAAATACATGGCCTGATGATGGTGGTATAGTAGTAGTACTATGAGGTTTTATGTATCCTATACTGGTTTAGACTCTGGTCATGACTATTGTTTTCTGTTTAGCAAGCTCTCTCTTCAAACATAGCTGCTCTTTGAAATGTAAATAACAGCTGGATTCCGGTGGTTTTATGCACCTGTACTTTTATTTTGAAGTACTCTTAAACTGTGAGTTGTGTCTGAGCGTTTACATCATTATTATACGGTGAGAGTGAGAAGAGTTTTGGCTCGAGCATTGGTCATTGTCGTGAATTTGTAAGTTTCCAGTGATCGTTCCTGCCATACTTGCAGGAGAGGACTCGGTTGAGGGTTGTTTGGGACCTGGTGGAGGGAATGTTGTGAGTCAGCTTGAGACTCTTCAAACATGGTTACATTGCTGCTGGCACATGCACAATTATTATTCTCGCCCAATAGTGGTGATCTGAATACAGACAGAATGAGCTAAGAAAAATTAGGTAAGGCTTTCCTACTAGTGAAATATACCTCCCAAAACTGAAAAATCATAAGCCATATGGGAGAAAGCTCTGGTTTGGGGGAGGGAGGGGGAATCTTGGGGCTCAACCCTAGGTGGATGAACTGACCGACCTCAACAGGAATTTACACATTTGCCGACCAAACAAATGAGTGTCCATCCCCAAAAACCAACTATACAAAAACCAACATTTCTTTTGGCGACAAACATGTTTGGTCGCGGAATGTGACAATTGGCGACCAAAATTTTTTGGTCGTGGAATGTTACAATTGGCGACCAAACTTTTTGGTCGTTGAATGTGATAATTGGCGACTAAACTTTTTGGTCGCGAAATGTGACAATTGGCGACTAAGATATTTGGTCGGGAAAATATCACTTTTCGCGACCAAAGTGTTTTAGCGACTAAATGAATTAGTCGCGGTAATAATATATTTAGCGACCAAAAATTTAGTCGGCAAATCTAACTTTTCCCGACCAACCAAAATTTTGGTCGCGAATTACTTTTGCCGACCCTCAATTGGCGACCAAAGTAGCGACCAAAAAAATTGGTCGCGGATAACTTTTGCCGACCAAAAATTGGCTTTTAGCGACCAATTTTTTGGTCGGCAAAAGTGTTAATTCTTGTAGTGCAAATAGAGTAACTGTCAAAATATAGTAACATATTACTATGAGACAGAGTCACATGTTACTGTCAAACAGAATAACATATTACTGTTACTGTTTATATCAATTTTGACGATAATATATTTTTTTTAAAAAAAATTTCATAGTTAATATGGATCTTATTTGATAGATTTTGATAAGAGAATTTTAAAAATATTAATTTTATTAAAAATCGACAACTATATCAAAAGTTATATTATTTTAAAATTTAATATTTTGATAATAATGGTATGTGTTGGACTTTTGAAAGAAATTTTTTTGTACTTATCTTTAATGCATTAAAATTTTATTATAAGAGGGTTTTGATCAAATCTCCCAAAATTTTACTATTAATCTAAAAAAATATTCAACCTTCAACTGATTTGTTATTTCCCCTTCATAAAAAGAATCTTCAAGTTTTGAACCCAACTATAGCGAAAAATTATGTGATGGTTTTGTGAAAAATTCATATGGTATTAATATTTAATATTTATTGATTGTGATATTTATCAATAAATCTTATCTCACAAACAAGTACTTTAATTAGGCTTAAGTTTTTTTTTATTGATCTATTAAGTCCTATTAGTAGAGAGTTTCTTTCCGTGTAGTCATATTTTTTTATTTTGATAAGAGTTTTGGTAGACAACTATACCTTTTTATTAATGTAACATGTATGATGTGATACTCCAATGTGGTAGGTATTAATGTAACACTCCAACGATGTGACATTGTAAAAAAATTAAAAATTCTTTAGTATACTTTTTCTAAATGTGACATCGTGGCGGGTATGATGTGACACTCTAAGACTTTTACTCAAAAAAATCAAAAACTTCTTAGCGTGTTTTTTCCAAATGTAACAACATGGCGGGTATGAGGTGACACTCTAAAAAAAATTAAAAACTCTTTAGTGTACTGTTTTGAAATGTGTGTACTTTTTCCAAATATGACAACGTGACAGGTATGATGTAACACTCTAAAAAAAATAAAAATTCCTTAATATATTTTTCTCAAATTTAATAACGTTGCAAGTATGATGTGACACTCCAAAAAAAATAAAAACTCTTTAGTGTATTTTTTTTTTCTAAATGTGACATGTGACACTTCAACTTGACAAGTATGATGTGACACTCTACAAAAATTTAAAAAAAAAATGTCTACTTTTTCTAAATGTGACACTCTAATATGATGGGTACGATGTGACACTAAAAAACTCTTTAATGTAGTTTTTTTCAAATGTAACATTTTAATATGGCGAGCAAATAAGTCATTATATATTCAAAAGGACTAAATGGATCACAAAAAAAAAAAAATGTGACTATATAGATTATAAGTCCAAAATATGAGACTTGTTGGTCAATCTCTCTTAAAACTATGACACTCAATACTTTTTGTTAGGATTTTAGTAGACATTTTGACAAGTGTTAAGTAATAAATGATGTGCAGTAGTGATTCAAGAACATTGTCTCAATTGAGAATTGACTATTTTTATTGACTATTTAACTTTTACAAAATGGCATATAAAAAAATAATATAATAACTTATAATAATTTTTTAACTATTTTAATTTATTGGCAAATAAGAACTAAAAATAATCTCTCTAAAATAATTCATTTTTACAAAAACACTCTATTAATTCTATACATACTAATCTAACAATGAGTTCGGGGTTGCTGCTGCGCAAGTTGCGCAACAGCAATTGTTGCGCGCCTCATTGAGCCCATTTCAAGGCCTAATTCGATAATCTGAACCGTTTACATTTTAGAAGGTATCCAATAGAATATACTTGTAAAAAATCACGTCAATCGGATATCGTTAGCCCTTTCATCAAATCACATTTGTATTTATAAAAAGAAAAGAAAAGAAAGATAAATGTAATTTGAAATATAAACTCAATACAAATGTGATTTGATGAAAGAGATAACGATATCTGATTGATGTGATTTTTTACATGTATATTCTACTCGATATCTTCCAAAATGTGAACGGTTTAAATTATCAAATTAGATATTAAAATTGGCCCAATAAAATATGCAACAGTTGCAGCTGCGCATCATGTGCAACAGCAACCCCAATCACTTATTTTTTTTAGGAGTCTATAAAAAAAAAGTACTCTAAAAAAAATATTTTATAGAGATGTAATATGATTATATGACTCATAGCTTTTGTTTGGAATGTGGACTGACTTTTTAATTTTTTTATTATTTTAATCTGAGATTGAAAATTCTAATTTGGGATAAGTTTTTTTGATTTTTTTGACTTTTGTAAGAAAAAAATAAAATGATTATAATTTGAATATGATACTTTGTCTTATTTAATTAAAATAACTAATTTTATCTTATATAATTATTCGATGGTACTACATGTATCAATTAGTGTATACAGTAGTGTACCAACTAGTGTTATAATATTATTATTAATCGCATTTATTGTACAAGTTATAAATATGCAAACCATACAAATAAAATACGGGGTCACTGTTGTGACCCCCATTACTGTGCCTAAAATGGCACAATTTTAGCCTCTCTTTTTTTTTTTGGTCATTTGGTCATGTTCTCACTATGTTTTTTAGCCTGATAAATTACACTTTGCCCTAAGCCCTAAAATAAAATAAAATAATAATAATTTAAGAATTAAATCCTAAATTCTAAACCATAAAACAAAAAAATAAATTAAATAAATTTTAAGAATTAAACCCTGAACCATAAACCCTAAAATAAAAAATAAAAAAATAAATTTTAAGAATTAAATCATAAACCTTAAACCTTAAATCATAAACCCTAAAATAAAATAAAAATAAATAAATTTTAAGAATTAAACCCTAAACCCTAAAATTAAAAAATAAATAAATTTTAAGAATTAAACCCTAAACCTTAAAATAAAAATAAAAAAGTGTAATTTATTACACCAAAAAACATACTAAAAAAAAAAGAAGATTGAAATTGTACCGTTTTAGGCATAGCAGGAAATACAACAGTAGGAGTCGCAGCAGTAATCCTGCTTTTATACAAATGATACTACATCATCTATTAATACATTAATATATATTAATGGATACATATAATAATTTTATAATTATTTTAACAACTTGGTAAAAAGTCAATTTTTTGATTTTTTTATCAAGTTCTTTTAAAAAAAATTACAAAAAAATCACTAAAAAAGAGTTTTTTTTTGGTTTAAAAAGTCACTAAAAAAAGTCAAAAAATTAAAAATTTAATTTTTTATCAACTTCTCAAAACACACCCCCTCTCTCTCCTTGGTGGTGAATGAGATATGTCAGATTTATTTTTAAAAAAAATCAATCAATAGAAAGTGTAATCTCTCCAACCACCACGGCTTGCGTTGTCATCAACCTGGAGTGTAGAGGTATTATCTACCCAGTAAGGGTGTGTGAGGAGCAAATTATAATTTATAAGGCAGCGTATGATCCATGTGTATCCCAATCCAATCAATGGAAGAATGGCGAGAAATGCTCTTCAATGGGGGCTAAAGCTGAACAGATTCTAGACAAAAATAGCAGGCACGAGGAAGAAGAAGATGATGTGGAGGTCCAGGTGGATGAGGCCTTACGCAGCAGGTATGATGTGGCTGGGGTGGCTCAAAACTTATCACCCACTGCTGAGGCTGAGTTCGATGGGGAGGATAGGTTGAAGGATGTCTCTGTGGTGGATGAGTCAGAATTGAGGCAGGAAGGGTTAGAGGAAGGTGGTGCATGCGTGAGGGGCACTGCTGAATCGGGAACGAGTTCCAAGCATTGTGATGATGTTGTCGGACGCATGGTAATGTCTACACCCCTGGTTTTTATGAAAAGTATTAGTTGGCGTCAGAGGAAATAGGGCTGGAATTCAACTCGAAGTGGACCTGATTACTAGGGATGACAATGGGGTAATGTGGTGGATATTAATTCCCCATGTTCATTTTTCTATAATAAATTTTCTCCATTTCTCATGGGTACCACCCTTTCCATTTCTTAATGAGTATGGATTTTCTCCTACCCACTTTAATCCCCATTTTTATTTTTTATATTTAATGTTAACAACCACTTTTTTATTTTT